CAAGCGTCGCTATTGGTTGTGGGAATTGTGTGTTCTATCTTCGCTGAGTATGTGACTTGTACAGGCTGCTCGTAGCCTCTCTCACAGCGGGATTGAATATCGTTCCCATAACGGAGAAATGTCTCGAGACATCAAGGAGGTCGCCATGTTCGCTGCTCGACCAGCTAAGCGGCATTCAGTATCAGATTCTGACGTAATTGTCGCGTGCACCGCATTTTATACTGCCTCTCGAGCTCGTCAGTATTTGCATGCGATTTGCATACTTCGCGACAATTGGCCAGACATTTGAACTGCCGTTAGCCAATAGGACTTCAAGAAAGGTTGGAAGGGAAGGAGTTCCCATAACGGAGAAATGTCTCCGTGATGTCTCGTTCCCGCTCTCAGGGAACCGAGGTTACGATAGTAACCGGAGACGTTTTACAGTGTGAACAGATCATGGTTCTGAACTGACCCGCATGCGCAAAAGAATGATACGAACAGGGTTTCCAGGTTTACACAACATAATCCGCCCAATTGCTTCTCAAAACTAGTCCAAAACTAGCACAACCATGTTCAGGTGAATAAATATCGCGTTAGTGGGTTCGCGTAGACCCACGAAGTTGAAAAACATTGCACTCAACAGTGGAAAAGTAGCCTAATTCCGCCGAGAAACTGGATTTGGCAACACTTGCGCAGCGCACGATCATACGGAAGTAAACACGGAGGACATAAAGTAAGCAATTATGCGTTTATTTATAGTGTGATCTGCTACTGAATTCGGCGAAATTATGTGCAGGCAATATTAAAAATAAAGACAAGGATGTGACAAAATACAGCAGAGTTTTGAAGCTTTTATGATACGAGCCCTCATGTTTTGTTTGTATATAGAGTTGTCACTGTAATTCTTATGAGTTCTGACATATTACACTTCCACTGATTACCTTTCGCAACTGTCTTGATAACTTTGGGCATGTAAAAATCTTTGAAGGGTTTCCCGTCAGCGCGGAATTATGACAAATGTCGATCTAGAGTGACGTAAAAGTCGCATGAAATCCGACATGACTGTTCACACTGCAGTCGCATTGCAAAACATCTGATATGCATCGGATAATTTAGTACCACATATGGAACTGGCACAAATCGGAATTTAAAAGATCAGATTCCATGTAGTTTGAGATGACAAAAACAGATCCGAGTCACATGTGAGCAAAAAAAATCAGATTTGGGCCACATTTGCCTGCAGTGTGAACGTAGCCATAGACGCATGCATGTAGATTGCATTCCCTTCAAAAACAAATGTAATCCACTGTGTCTTTAGCGGCTCAGATGTCAGGAGTAAATGACAACATCTATGTTTGTGACAGTCATCAGGGATCCTTTTTCTCTGTTTAGTACTGGGGGTGCTGTTAAATGCATATGCGGGATAACAGGTAGGAAGTTATTTGAGGAAGCTTGGTGACATAAAGTAAGCGATTATGCGTTTATTTATAGTGTGATCTGCTACTGAATTCGGCGAAATTATGTGCAGGCAATATTAAAAATAAAGACAAGGATGTGACAAAATACAGCAGAGTTTTGAAGCTTTTATGATACGAGCCCTCATGTTTTGTTTGTATATAGAGTTGTCACTGTAATTCTTATGAGTTCTGACATATTACACTTCCACTGATTACCTTTCGCAACTGTCTTGATAACTTTGGGCATGTAAAAATCTTTGAAGGGTTTCCCGTCAGCGCGGAATTATGACAAATGTCGATCTAGAGTGACGTAAAAGTCGCATGAAATCCGACATGACTGTTCACACTGCGCTCGCATTGCAAAACATCTGACATGTGTCGGATTTAGTACCACATATGGAAGTGGCACAAATCGGAATTTAAAAGATCAGATTCCATGTAGTTTGAGATGACAAAAACAGATCCGAGTCACATGTGAGCAAAAAAAAAACGGATTTGGGCAACATTTGCCTGCAGTGTGAACGTAGCCTTAGTGATTCATGTATGGAGATAGAATTGTTGCATAATCCCAAATAAACAGATTATGATAAACAAATAAATGTAAAGAGATCAACAAAAATTAAACATATTGACAAATAAATAGAATGGGAATCCACAAATATCTATTTATGTCACAAACACAACTTTGCCTGGCATTCATTTGTGGATCTTGAAACATTTCTAGCGTCAAGACGCTGACAAATCCACAAATGTGTGGACTCCACCCACCATCTACTCAAGCCAATCAGATAACAGCCACACTTTGCTGACCAATCGTAGCACGTTCTCGCTTTAACCAATCACATTTTGCTGTTATCTGATTGGCTTGAATAAACGGTGGGTGGAGTCCACGGGGTGATCGCGTTCCATGCGGCTGGGTGGGAAGGTGGCGATTTGACCCAAGGTCCTTTCACACACAAAAACAAACTAAACTATAACAATAACTATTAGCGTCCACACCAACGGAAAATAACGTTCTGATTAGTATATAAGCGTTGTTTGTCGCTTTAAAACCTCAAGATTTTTCACACACCAAGGACGATAACTATAAAGTTGTAATATTTGTTCTAATTCTAGGAGAATAGGAAAGTCCACAGCTATAACACTAGAACGAACAACACAGAGCAACAATATCTTCGAAATCACTTAATATATATATATATATATATATATATAATATATATATATATATATTAACAACCAATCAGAATCCACTTGAATTAAACAAGCACACTGTTTTTTTGTGTGTTTTTTGGTTACCAACATTTTACAAAATATCTTTTTTGTGCTTCACAAGTCACAACTTTCAAGAGTTTTATAGAGTTTTTGTCTAGTGAAATTTTTTGGGGAAGACATTTTAATGAGCTGAACAATTGGCATGTTGTTAAACAACAGCACAATCCATTAAACACAGTACTTCTATCGCTCTCAGCCTCGTTTTCATTCCTCTCAAAAATTAAAGGGGTCATATGATGCGATTTCAATTTTTCCTTTCTCTTTGGAGTGTTACAAGCTCTTGGTGCATAAAGAAGATCTGTAAAGTTGCAAAGACTAAAGTCTCGTGTACACGGTTGCCTTGAACCGAGCCCGAGCACGATTATCCCTCCTCCCCACTCCCCCACTGGCCTGCACTCACACTTGCACTAAACTTTCCAGGACTGTGCATGCTTACATCATGTATGAGATAACGGAGAAAACCACTTTCGCTAATATTCTGCCGAATAATTAATAATAATTGATTTATAATGTACCGCGTACATTGATTTTCACTTGTATGTATCAGAAAATTATTACGGA